GCAAGCACTCTACCACTGAGCCACCTTCCCAGCCCTGCATTGATACTTTTAACACATAGTCATATTATGTTCCTAAGAACTATGAGCTGAAGGATGTGATTTTCTGTCAGTTGTGGGGCTTGAACTCAGGACCTGGGTGCTGTTCCATGAGCTCTTCTGCTCAAGGCTGGCCGTCTACCACTTTGAGCCACAACTCCACTTCTTAGTGTTTGGAGATAAGAGTTTAGGGGGACTTTGCTGCTGGGTTGGCTTAGAACCATAATCCTCGGATTTCAGCCTCCTTGAGCAGCTAGGGTTACAGGAATGAGTCAATAGCACACAGCCATTAGGTGTTCTTGATGACTCTCAATTCTTCTGACATAATTGTGATCTATTTTATTGGAGAGCAGGCAGAATTATGAATAAGGGAAAATATAGGCTCTGGAGATAGACACACCAGGAACAGAATCCTGGATCTTGTCTTAATGCCATCCTTTTGCTTCTATTAAACTTACATTTATTTTTCCTCCACGATTTCTTCTAACACTTATCTTTGTGGTGAAAACATTGAAGTTCTTCCTTCTAACTTCAAAAAATATTCAATACAGTCGTGTTGTCTACAATCAACCTACAGTACAATAGCACACTAGAACTTCTTGCTCCTGTCTCACTAAAATTCAGTCCCTACTAATCAACCTCTCCCCTCCTTCCCTCCCATAGAGGTCCTCAGCATCTGAAAGAACCATTCTGCTATCAATGTCAGTAAGACATTCCCCATCTCCTAATTAGTTTATTACTACCCCATCACATTGTTGCGTCGGACAAATGGAGTGACTTATTGTTAAAATATAGATAAGGTAGGACACAGCACAGCTCAGAGTTGTTGTGATTTGTTGCCAGATAAACTAAAAAAGAACGCATCACATGGATTCTTTAGCTTCCCAGTGCACATAAAAGATCATGTTTTAGAGAATATGCACTGAATTTTATGAAAATTGAGAAAGGGGAGAGATTGAGAGGGACTGGGGAGAATAATGAAAGGGGTGACCTTGATCAAGATTCATTATATTCATACATTACTTTGTTGAATGGCAACTCCTTTGTACAATTACTTAAAGATAAAAATAAAATTATGATAATGTCTGAGCTGTTGCAAACATGGTGCCAATAAATTTGCTCAATGCAAGGTTGCTACAGACCTTCATATCTGGAAAGTGCAAAAAAATGAAAAAGTTTCCCGGTATAGTATTTTTCCCTCTATGTGCATGTTATTTTCTTGCTGTCTCCTCCAACAAACTCAGAGTATAGTTCAGAGATAGAGCACTTGTGTAACATGAGGTAAAGTCTCTGAGTTCAATTCCCAGAACCACTAATAAACAAACAAACAAAAGACCAAAGCTAGTGTTTAAATCTACTTATATTTACTTTCAGTATTTAATGTTCTAAGCACAAGTGCTTCATATATATATATATATATTTTTTTTTTTTTTTGGGTCCGGTCATGGGGCCTGAACTCTAGGCCTGGGCTCTGTCCCTCAGCTCTTCAGCTCAAGGCTAGCGCTCTACCACTTGAGCCACAGCGCCACTTCCGGCTTTTTTCATTTTGCTTATGTGGTGCTGAGGAATCGAACCCAGGGCCTCAGGCATGCAAGGCAAGCACTGTACCACTGAGCCACCTTCCCAGCCCCTTCATATATTTTTTATGACAATGAATTGGTTTTAGATTTGTGAATACCATATCTCCCCTTAAAAAGAAATATTACAAACTATAAAAGCATCTGAACTCATTATGATAACAAGAAGCTTATATTGTCATATATATATATATATTACTCCAATTATCTGGGAAATCATGTTTTTGAATTGACTACTAATAATATATGTATTTATGTTTGTGTAAGTTGTTTAATCAAAAAAGTATTATACCACAAGAGTACTATGTACAAGAATATGGCCAAGTGACTGTGACTCACATGTGTAATCCTTACTGCTCAGGAGGCTGAGATCTCAGGATCATGGTTTGAAGCAAGCCCAGGTAGGAAAGTCTTATGTGCAATTAACTACCAGAAAACTGGAAGTAGTGCTGTGGCTCAAAATGGTAGAACACTAGCTTTGAGTGAAAGAGCTCAGAGACAGCTTCCAGGCCCTCAGTTCAAGCCCCATGACCAACAACAGCAAAAAAGAATATTTATGCAAAAGTTGCATTTACTGTCATTTGAAGTGAGAAAAGATAAATAAAAGCTGAAAAATACTTTGAGAACACTGTTACATTCCAAGATGGAATTAGAAAAATGCAAATCCAAAGAGCAGACATTAGACTTTTTCTTGAAATTTGAGGATGAATGAGAAAGATTCATGAAAACTTCTCTGAACTTTTAAAACATTGATTTTCACTATCAAATTCCTTGAATTAAGTAAAAACTCCTTTTCTTACCTACAATGGAGAGAATGACCACCACAAAATCAAAAATATTCCATCCGATGGTGAAGTAATAATACCGCAGGGATATGAGTTTCAACACACACTCTCCAGTGAACAGAACAATGAATACCAGGTTAATCCAGTATAGGATGTTGGTCATTTCTTGACTCTGGTCATCTGTCTCCACCATCATGGTGACCATGTTGAGGCAGATGAGGATCATGATGCTGATATCGAAGACTTGTTTGGTTACAAAATCAAAGACCATTCCTTGGAATTTGTTCTGGAAAAAAAAAATAACACAGACTTCCCACTTACAAAGCATCAATGTACATAATTTGAACATAACAATGTGAAAATGTACTCTTTAAAAACATTTCATGATTGTTTTATCCATGCTAGATAATTTTGTGTGCTGTTTTATCCAACTCTTTTCAAATGTATTGATGTATATTGCACATGATACAGACATTATAAACTGCAGATTCAGAACCATTTACTATGCTATCAGTTCCATAAGAACTTATATCCTACATTCCTTCTTTCAATATCTCATTTCATGTCCTATCCATAAACAATGCACTTTGATGACAAAAAAAAATCTGATTTGGATTTGTGAACACAATGTCTGCTTCTGAAAAGAAATGTAACAAGAGATAGAAACATTTTCAACTACAAGGCAATGGAAGCTTACACGTCTGTGATTATGTATGTATGTAAATGAACATATTCATTACTATGATTATGAAAGAGATATTTATGAATGGAAAGTGCATAGTGTAGGGTCAGTAAATATTTATAACTATATTTTTTTATTTCCTATACTCAGGAATGGGTATTGATATTACCTTTTTAAGACTTAATCAAAATATTTCCTCTTTGTTTCTGATTTCACATTCTCTCATCAAAACCACAACATCTTAAATCTGTCATATAGCTTATGACAGGCATTTCAAAGTGGTAGTTTAAGGCAAAGAATATTAGTAGGAAAACAAATAAGTATGGATCAAATTCTGTATTTTATTTCATTGTTTATCCAAGTTCATTTGTTAGTTTTGACAATTCATGGATGTATGTTTGACTTTCATGTAGGTAAATCTATGTGGAGATTACATGAGGTAGATCTATTTTAGAATAATCATTTCACAAATTACAGATCACAGATTTTTTTTCTTAATCAATTTATTTTAGTTTTTGTGTCAGTCCCAGGGCTTGAATTTGTGGCTTGGGCACTGTTCCCCACCATTTTTGCTCAAGACCACTTTGAGCCACAACTCCATTTCCAGCTTTCCGATAATTAATTGGAGAAAAGAATCCCACAGACGCCGGGCGCTGGTGGCTCACGCCTGTAATCCTAGCTACTCAGGAGGCTGAGATCTGAGGATCGCAGTTCAAAGCCAGCCCGGTCAGGAGAGACCGTGAGACTCCTGTCTCCAATAAACCACCAGAAAACCGGAAGTGGCGCTGTAGCTCAAGTGGTAGAGCGCTTGCCTTGAGCTGAAGAGCTGAGGGACAGCGCCCAGGCCCAGAGTTCAAGCCCCACGACTGACAAAAAAAAAAAAAAAAGAATCCCACAGACTTCTCTGCTTGGGATGGCTTCAAACCACAATCCTTAGATCTCAGCTTCCTTAATAGCTATGTGTGTATCTATCTATCTATCTATCTATCTATCTATCTATCTATCTATCTATCTATCTATCTATCTATCTATCTATCTATCTATCTATCTATCTATCTATCTAATCTATCTATTTTGTCGGCCGTGGGTCTTGAACTCTGGGCCTGGACGCTGTACCTCAGCTCTTCAACTGAGCTAAAGCACTGCTTCCGGCTTTCTGGTGGTTAATTGGAGATGAGAGTGTCATGGACTTTCCTGCCCCGGCCGGCTTTGAACCAGGATGCTCAGATCTCAGGCTCCTGAGTAGCTAGGATTACAGGCATAAGCCACTGGTGCCCCGCTCTGAATTTTATTTTTAAGGAGTAATTTGCCTTATGCCTTCTTTTGCAAACTGAAATTCTCACTTGTAAGCCGGGTCTGATCTCAGACCTGATCACCAACTTGTAGCTCCTTGTAGTTGCTTAAGATTATAAACATAATTAGCTCGCTTTTCTTTAGCATGATATTGTCCCACAAGGTCAGGGTAGTAGAGAAAATAAGAACTTTGGCCATTGTCTTTAAACAAAAGAGAAACTCTGCAAATATGTTGTATTAGTGATTCTTTCAATTTTCAGAGTTGGAGAGAAAACAGGTCTCTGAGAGATTAATTAGGTCAATCAATCCTTAAAGTAGTCTATAAGCATCCACTATTTCCATGTGGTATATTTATATTCCATGTGGTGTAAATGTGTTCAGATTGTTCTCTATAAAAATCTCAGTGTTATCAATTCTGTGTGAAACTACTAGCATTTCAAACTAAAACATCCATTTAGAAGCATCTTGTATGATAACATATAAAACTGCATCATGTTAAATAATTTAGACTTGATAAACACAAATATAACAAATATTTCAGTTATTTCTACTAGTCACAATATTAAGTAAAACCATCATGTTGCAAAAATCACAATAATTTTACTGTCAAGCAGTTTTGGCTGTGAAAGTGATAGCAGAGCTCTCACTGATGAAAAAATGTATATTATTCTTACAGCAGGCCGAGGAATGGGTTTTTGTGGTTTTTTTGAACCCAGTTTTTTCATTGCATTGTAGTATTTCTTCTGTTCTTCTGTCATAAAAATGTCTTGACCTCCAAAGTAAAGAAACAAAAGCAAAAAATAGTTAAAATCATGTTCTTTGCAAGCTATAAAATGCATTTAATAATCATGTGTAATTTGGCTTCCATTCTATTCTTATGTTGTTGAGATCTATATTATTGAAGCTGCATATGTTCAATATACAAAGTACACTATAACAGCCATATTTGCACAGGAAAATATAAAAATATCTAATCTCAATTACAAATTTCCTAAGAATCTTATGGGTATTAGATCTCAAAATATTTTTAAAATTTTATATTATTTGCTATGCCAATGTATTTTGGAGCATAAGGCAAACAGATATTTAGCTCACATTTCAGAGCAAAGATGAAGTTTTAGTATACTTATCTTCTTTTTTTGTTGGTTGAAGTTATCTATGATGACACCAATAAAAAGATTCAAAGTAAAGAATGAACCAAAAATAATAAAGATGACAAAATAAAGATACATGTACAAATTGTCTTCATATTTGGGTTGTAATTCTACCTATAAAATCAGAGAAAAATAACCATTAGATTTATTGCTTGATAATGCACAGCAGTGAGTTTTCAATTCTCTAAACATGTCTTAATCAATGAAGAGCAAAGGAACCAAACACTGAATAGAATTTATGAGCCTTTACACCTCAAATGCTAGCTAAAGAATTCTGGAAGAATATTCATTGACTTGAGACAATCATTCTGGTAGGTGTATAAGTATTGTCTCATTTTGGTTCAGATTAGCTGTCCTTGATGACTAATGCAAGTAGAGCCAGTAACTTTTGATAATTTTAGGGGACAAGTGGATTTTATCTGTTGTAATAGAATCTTCAAGGTTTTTTTTTTTTTAAGTTAATGTACAAGAAGCTAAAGGGAAGTTGTTGATTAAGTCAGTAAAAAAAGGAACTTGAATGAATGAATTGAGAAAGTAGGAAGCTATTGTAGAAAGTGGTGATGACTTACTATTTTTGTCAGATTTCAAAAACTCTTCATTATTTAAACTGTGCCAAGCCTCTTTGCTTCAGCGGTAAATGCTATTAGTATCATACATGTAACATTGTTAGTTAGGATTCATGAGATAACCTAAGAAACCCCAAACCCTAGCAAGTAGCAATTAATGATAAATTATTATTATTGCTAAGGAAAAGCAGTAAATAGGATTCTTGGTACAGTGCAGTATTTTTAATGTTCTCGGTCTCCACTTTGTGTGTCTGCCTCTGGGTGTCTGTCTCTGTGATTTTATGAAATGAAAAATAAACAGGGAATTTTCATCCAGAAAGTTGCTGCTGGTACTATATAGAAGTATTATTTGGAACTTAATTGCCATTCTCTGGTAAACCAGAAACCAATCACTTTTTCTAAAAGGTAATTTCCTTCCTTATAAGTAGTGAGGAATTAAATGAAATTAGAGAAACAGTTTCATGAATACTGATGTGTGGAAGGTAGATAATGAAAATTTCTGCTTTCTATCCACTTCCTAGAGGGAAATATTATTGATTCATTTGTTTGTTTTGCTTCTGGAATTCCCCCCTGCTGTTTGTCATATAATTCCTATCAGAAAGAAGATCTAAAGCTAAAGTAAATCTATTACAGATGAAGAAAATTGCCTGGAGGCTTAGTATATACAAATGATCAGAATTATCAAAGCTGAAAAAACCAACTTCTGATTTTGAAAATACAGTTAATAAAGATTAAGTGACAAATTTTTATGCTTAAAACTAAAAAAAGTAAAAAAAAGCCCTCATTGTGTAGATAATATTTTAATAAAACTTTTAAAGAAATAATAGAGCAAATATTTTATTTTTTAAATATAAACTGATCTGCGATTTAATTTTATGGACAATATCATTTAATCATAATACTGTGGAAATACTTACTTGATCAAATTAAATATTTCCCTACAAAGAAACACTTACATTTCGAGAGTCAACAGCTGCATACATAATATCCATCCATCCCTTAAAAGTGGCCTGTAAAAAATCATATTATTTAATTTACTCCCATACAATAACTTCAAAAAATAGATTATCAGAGTAAAAATGTAGAAAAATCTCTAGACTAAAACATTCTGGATGTTTTCACTACAAAGAAAGAATGAAGATTTGTGGAAAAACATATTCAGATCTAAACATTGCACAGTTCATACATGCATAAAACATCATATTGAAATCTTCAAATTATGTCAGTGAAGAAGGCAAGTTTCACTATAATTAGGATTCAGTCAAATACACACGTAAAATAGTTCAAATTGATATTTAACTCTTTGGGCAACGTATCATAGCTCAAAGTTAAAATGAAAACATTTTAACTTTATATTTTCCTGTGACACCTTCACTTAATCTCAGCCCAAAAGCTGAGATTATGATACAGTCAATAAAATCTTTAAATGCATGTTTAATATCTATAATTAAAATTCTATCATAAAAGCAGCATCAGTAACATTTGCCCCTCATGTAATTCTAGAAGTATATATAACATAAATTTCACAAAAGAATACAAACATAAGTTCTACTGTATGCCTCATTATTTGATCATTTATTTATTTATTTATGTCGGTCGTGGGGCCTGAACTTTGGGCCTGGGCGCTGTCCCTCAGCTCTTCAGCTCAAGGCTAGTGCTCTACCACTTGAGCCCCAGTGCCACTTCCAGCTTTTTTTTTCTTCTGCTTATGTGGTGCTGAGGAATCAAACCCAGGGACTCATACATGCAAGGCAAGTGCTCTACCACTGAGCCACCTTCCCAGCCCCTATTTTATCATTTTTTGTGTAAATTATTGCATCTACAATATATTCTAAAAGTTATATTCATATGTTTTAATTGCTTTTTATAGTTATGATATGCAGTATATTTTGAAATATATATGCACTATGAAGTGGCTAACTAATGATAATTAACATATACACTGCCTCACACGTATTTTTGTACTGAAAACACTTAAAATTTGCTCTAAAATTTGATTTACAACTAAGCTGAAAATCAACTGCTAATTATTAATTACAGTTACCATAATGTACCATAGATCTCTAGAATTTATTTTTCCTTCTAACTAAAATGTGTCTTTTGATCAACATCTTTCCTCTTATACACTTCAGGTCTTTGTCTCAGTGATTTGATTTCACATGTGAGATCATGTGATATTTCCTTCTTGTGCCTGGCTTATTTACTTTAGATAATGTCTTCCAGGTTCATCCATCTTGTTGCAAATGACAGGATTTTGTTCTTTATGTTAAAAGATTGAATATTATGCCATTGTTTATATATGCCACATGTAAAAAATACATTCATTCACTGATCAACAGACACATTGATTTCATAGCTAGCTAATGGAAATAATACTAGTTAATATCAGCATATTTTTATGTGTAATGTGAAATAAGTATGAGGAAAAGAAGAATGCATTTCTATTATATATAGGCCTAATAGTGGGATTACTGGAACACATGATAGTTCTTTCATAATTTCTTGAGGAATTGTCATACCATTTTTCTATTTGTTATAGAGATTAACCTTTCTCCCGATGGCTACATTAATTTACATCTTCATCAACACTGTGCAATATTCTTTTTTCCCAGTCTTACCAACATTCTTTGCCATTCTTCTTTTTTGATAATATTCATGCTAAGGAGCAAGAGGTGTTAATTTATTTTGAGAAAGAAGAACTTGGGACTCATTTTAATTATAATAACAGAGAGTAATGAAATGGTTACTTACTACTTGAAGCAGAGAAAGATATCCAAGTCCAACGTTATCAAAGTTTACTTTGACGTTTTTCCACCTGGCAGTTTGATTGCTGTCTATGAGTGCTTTACATTCACTGTAGTTGTTGACCACACTTACATCAAACATCTCTCCAGTGGTATAATTAATGCAATGATAAAACTTGCCAGCAAAGAGATTCACTCCCATGATACTGAATATTAGCCAAAAGATCAGGCAGACCAGAAGGACATTCATTATGGATGGAATGGCTCCCAAAAGAGCGTTTACAACCACCTGGCACAGAATGGGCAGGGGGAGGGGGAAGGGAAAGTAACTGAAAAACCAACGAGAGATACTTATTTGTACTTACATTTTATTAACAGAGTGGTGGCCATGTTATAGAAAATATATCTGTATTTCTTGATTTTGAATTTTGTGTGGAAATGTTTTGTAGCTCAAAGTGAAAATATTGAAATGATAATTCAGGAGATAAAAATGAGTTTTATAGGATGCTTTCGACAGTATAAACATTGCTACACATAAACTTAACATATGTTTTAGATCAAGGGATTGAACTAATTTAACATATAATAGATGATTAAGACAATTGAACTAATTAAGATGTGACAGTGACATGGGTATAAAATAGAACCATTTGGCTGCTAAATTCAACAGAGAAAATATGGCAGTTATTTTCATATTAAAAGTTTGGCACCCTTTTGTTCATTTAATTTTTGTAGAAAAAATTCTACAAAAACAGTGACTAGAAATTTGTAAGATAAAGAGAATTTAACAAGTAAGTAACCATACATAGATGATTACGTATAAACACACCTACATGCACCTCATTCATCTCTGGTGGTATTTGCCATATTCAGATGAAGTCTAAGTCACTATTTCCTCTTTAAAAATATTTAAATGTATTTTATTGTATCATAATTGTGAGGCATGTGCTACATATCATCAAATATACAACAATAGAGCATATAGTCGAAAAATTTAAAAAAACCAAACTTACTATACTCTTTAAAAAAGCATATAGTACTTTTTCTTTAAGTCACTATTTTCAAATCTCACAATTTTTTTCTGAAAGATCTTTTTGAACTGCTTAAACCACAGAGACAGGGCATGGTCATTTTCTAGGTGGTGAGGGCATGCGGGCTCATGTTTTATGCCCCAGTGGAAGGCAAATGTCAATACACATTCTTTTCTGTTTCTTTCTGACACTTTTCTAAGTGAGTATTGGATTTCTACAGTTGACCTACTTTTTAGTCATCACCATCTGCATTTGAAAGTTAAAAGGGTAGATTCATAGTTCAAAAGTCTCAAAATGTGTTTCATTTAACAGTGAAGAATGATGAGTCATAATTTGGTAGTTTTGAGTCACAGAAATTATGATTTCCTGTCCGTTTATAAATGAAAAAGATAACTCTTGATTTATATCCACAGTCTGCACACATAACTAGATATTTTCCACTGTATGAAAATCCAGTTAATTAGAAACAGGCATTATCTGTGCATATGAATATATAGACATGTGATAACAGATACGATTACAGATGTCTGGTAAGTATTATCTTGATTGGTGATTGGTTTTGCGTGTATGAGTGTAACAAGTTCTCCATGGATCTGTCATTTCTAAGGTACAAAGCATCTGGCTGTTCACAACTATAAATCCAGTAAATGCTTAAACCTTTGATCTTACCCTCATTCCTTCAAACCGGGATAAAGCTCTCAGTGGTCTCAGCGCTCTTAGTGTCCTGAGCGATTTGATGGCACCAAGTTCTGAGTAGCCCAAGGCATTTGCAGTTAAGCTGACCAATGAAACCTGTGCACACACAAATCATACCAAATAAATCACATGGCTATCATCTCATTTGCAGTTAAGCTGCAGATGCGAAATCTATACAGGAAAAGTAAAACAATTTCATTTACAAACAACAATGTCCACTCAGTTGAACCTTGCTCTACGCACTAAAACAGGAGTTCTCAAACTTCAGTGAGTTTCTACATCATCTAGGGAGTTTATTAAAAAGACTAGTAGCTGGCTGAGTCTGATTTAATCAGCTTGAGCTAAGACCAGAGAATGTGTATCATGTTTCCAAGTAAGGAGAAGCATCAATTATTAAGTCAAATAAAATTTGTGAATTAAAAGGAAGAAAAGAAAACAAAGAACTACAAATGAAAAAAGGAGGAAAAACAGATTTTAGTGTAGTAAAAAAGTATAAGGATGTTTTCTTTAGTTATACATACAGGTGACTAATTCAGTTGATTAAAATTCTCATCTCTCAACTTAAAAATGCAAGATAAAAAAACTGTCACAGTTGGCACTGGTAGCTGAATTTTCTTTAAAAAGAGATTTTAAAAATTCATTAAAATTACACAATCTAAGAAAAGGCACTTTTTTTCTAATGTACTCAAGAATTGCAAATGCATATTAACAGAGATAAATGAGTAATATAGCTTTAAAGGTATGTTATTTGTAAATATTTAAAAAATTTAATAAGTGAGGTACATAGAAAATGGTTTAAAAACTTGTTTATTTAAATTAATTTTGCACATATGTTCTGAAAGTTTAGAAAAAATTATATACTTATCTTTTTTTATTAAATATTTTTATTGTAAAGATACTGTACAGAGGGTTACAATTACATGAGTAAGGTGATGAGTGCATTTTCTATTGAGCATTGTTACCCTACACATTTATTGATCATAAGTGCTTTATTTAGGTTTTCCACATTTTAAAGTCTTAAGTTTTGTAGTCTCTTCATGAATACTTGAAGAGTATGACTGTGAAAATTTTTTGCAAGTAAGACAAGGGCATTGACAGTATTTTACCTTCTCTGAAGACAATATCAAAAAGATACACATTAAAGGATGAAAAGTAAAAGTTAAACATATAAAAATAAACAGACTTGTCACATGGGTAAATTAAATGGTAAAATATGCCATTTTATGTAACTCATGTAGCTAGATTTGAAAAGAAAATGCATTCCTTTCCCTTTCTCCCCCTTCCCCTAACTCCTTTTGTTCCTCCTTTTTCCTCCTCTCTTCTCCCATCTCTTTCTTTCTGCTCCCCATTACCTCCCTTCCCTTCCCTTCTTCTTCTCTTCTCACCCTTCCCCTTTCCTATCCTTCTTCCCTGACACTGAAAAAGTATTCGAACTGGTTTTTTCTTTTTATTTATTTTATTTTATTTCACTTTATTGTAAAGGTGATATATAGAGGGGTTACAGTTGCATAAGTAATGATACATTTCTTGTCACACATTGTTACCCCCTCCCTTGTTTTTCTCCCACTTTCCCTCCCCCTGACTTACTGCTCCCCAAGATGTAAAGTTCATTTCCAACATATTGTCTTGTGAGTGTCGCTGTTGCATTGGTTCCCCCTTTGTCCTTTGTCTCCCCTTTGCTTCCCCAAGTCAGATAAGTGTGTATATAAGACACAGGATATCAAAATAAAAATAGTGACAAAAGGGTATAAACCAAAGCAAAAAAATGAAAGAAAAACTTTACACAAAAACTCCACAAAATTAAAAAAAAACACAAAATATAAAACCTCTTATTTCCAAGTCTTGAGGTTCATTTCGAATAACATAATTTTATATGGTCATATAGTAATCCCCTTTCATTTCCATCATTCTTATAAACTTTCCTTCCTAAAAGTTCAGGCTAGTCTTAGCTTTTCTCTATAAGTAATTCTTCAATGGCATTACTTTTAATTTGTTTATTTTTCTTTTTTTTTGTAAAGATGCTGTACAGAGGGGTTATAGTTACATGAGTAAGGTAATGAGTATATTTCTTGTCAAGTTGTGTTTTCAAATTTCTCTGGATGGTGTTGAGAACTCTTCACACTCTTTTCTAACTTACCTTTTGCACATTATAATTTCCCTAAAAGTATTTCCTCTTTCCCTCTGACACTCCTTATGCTTCCCCTCTAGTACCACTTCTTATTTCTTGTATCAACACATCAGTGTCCCTCCTGCATCTGGATCTGCTGACAGACTCACGCTTTACTGGCCCATGGAGGCTTTACTCACATAGTAACCTGTCTATGACCAGTGCCAGTGTGTCCTGAACACCTGTCTCTCCTTATTATTCTCTATAAGCTCCTGTAAAATCAGAAAAATGGCTTACTCACACTTGTATCTCCTAGAGCAGAATAGGTGAGCAATACACATACTTGATATAAAGAGAAGTACTGTTACTTGATATAAAGCAAAGTTTGACATATAATCATAATATATTTAAAAATCTGAAACAGTAGATATCAGAGTATACTAGGTATTATGAGTGCAAGTTGCAGGAAAATTAAACTTCCCTTAACAACTTCTTATTCAAGTAGTGCTCACTTAATGGTTTTATAGATGCATGGATACATTAGATATCATTATCAATCTGCCAAGCTGGCATAGCTACATATATAATAGTGAGAATAAATAATATCATGTACAATCTCATAATATAAATAAAGAATGGTTAGATTTTACACATTTTTCTGTTACAATTTCCAAACATTTGTGGAATTAAATGGCTTATTTTGAGAACACTTGAAATATAATTTTTCATGCATCCCTTATATATTACATTTAGCAATAATTTGTCTCCAAATTAAATTATTTTAAAATTACCCTGAAATCTGACATGTATGCATCCTTAATAAATTAGTTTTATTAAAATCTTGTATTTATTAAAGAAAAACTTAATCTTCAAATAATTGGCCAAAAACTAATCTGATTATACAAACCAAGCTGTTTCTCTTGCCTTTTGAACCCTCAATGTTCCTTATGATTAATATTTCACTTGTTTGATAAATACTTCTCAATAGGTTTTGATGATAACAGGCTCTATTGGTAAATATATTTGTGAAGATCTTGAATACTGTGACTTTGTGAAGTATGTGGAAAGCCCAACATTTAAAAATGAACATATTATTCTATGAAACTTGTGATTTCACATATTAATTTGATGTTAAATCAGTGAAGTATAAGGTGTCTTTGAACCATTTAAACATTCATTTAAATTAGCAGAAAGTATCCTGAATGTTCTCTCACTGGAAAAATATCCTAAAACTTGAATTGATGCAACATTTGCTGAAAATCTGCCATGTGTCATCTGCCATTGCTAGAATAGATCCCAACCATTACAATCAAAGAAATGGAACACTGCAAGCTGGGGGCCATTGGCTCACGTCTGTAATCCTCAGATCTCAGCCTCCTGAGTAGCTGAATGCAGTTCAAAGCCGGCAGGAAAGTCCAAGACTCTTATCTCCAATAAACCACTCAGAAAACCGGAAGTGGCCCTATGGCTCAAGTGCTAGAGCGCTAGCCTTGAGCAGAAGCATTGAGGGAAAGTACCTAGGCCCAGACTTCAAGCCCCATGACCAACAACAACAACAACAAAAGGAACACTGCAGAATACTCACATCCACAATTAGGAAATCCAGCCAGCACCAGGCATTTGTAAAATACATTTGAAAACCATATGCAACCCACTTTAGAAGCATTTCCAAGATGAAGATATAAGTGAAAACTTTGTCGGCATATTCTAACATGGTCTTGATGGTTTTGCGCTGTTCAATATAAATATCTTCAAAGGCCTGTAAATTTAAAACGACTATGTTGAATTTCATTGTCACAATCGCCAGCATGTTTTAGGGAAAAAGAAGGGGAAAAAGGGATACAAACCTCCTCTCTGGTGCCCAAGGCTAGTAGGCAGTTTCGTTTCTCATAGCTGCATTTGCTTTATAGCTATCTATATGCAAATGACTTTGGCCATTTCAGCAAAACATGGAACTTAGGACATTTTACAATGCTTGATAAGAAATGTACTCATTACCTTGCCCATGTAATTGTAACCCCTCTGTACGGGATTTTCACAATAAAAAAATTTTAAAAATAAAATGAAATAAAATTTGGATATTAGGGTACCTAAATTTTAAGTGACAATCAGCTGTTTCTTTCTAAAGAAGGACATAAAAAGTCATTTGGAAGTATAACTAATTCGTTGAGTTTTGAGTAGGCCTTTTCTATAGCAACACGTTGCATCATCCTAGCAGGGAAGGGAAAAATCACTTTTTCTCTTTTCTGCTACATATATTCTCACAATCTTCCCCCATAGGTATGTATGGGCGTATGTCTGGAAGTTCCTTGGCATCATTTTTCATAGCTCCTGAGGAAGTTCTTGTTGAGGAACTCATATTCTGGAGTCGATGGGATTTTTGGAATAAAAACGTCATTTTACTCAGTGCTCCTACCAGGGCTCAACACCAGGGCCCCAAAAAGCTCACTTTGTAGCTGAGTTAGGAAGCTCTTCAGATGCTGATGACTATGTCTATGTATTTAGTATTTTGCTGAGCTTTGATTGAGGCTAATAAAGAATCAAGAGCTATTACAGCAAGGGCATTCGTTGGTAAAAAGACCTCATAGTTCTCTCTACTTGGCATTCAAATTCAAGGCTGATCCTCTTTGGACTGAGTCCGTCATCTGATGTAGAGTTTAGTTAAGTCAGAAATGGGCCCAAAAGTCTGCAGATACAGTACACTCATTCTCACAAAATCAACTCACTGAACTTGAAATTAAGCTATTGAAAAAAACCCAAAAAAACCAAAGGCAAATACATTTGTATCACCCAATGGGAATATGAATCAAGACTTTTTATTATGTTAGTGTTTTGACCAAATTGGCTATGCAATTAAATGAAATCTGATGTAAATTCAGTTTGTAATGCTTGCTCTTTGCAGAGTCAACAATTAAGTCAGCCTACTAATCACTCACTGTAATTGGCAGAGCAAAGAAGACAAGTGAGCTTGCTGCACGCAGCACACATCTTGTGCTGATTAGCTCGATGGTTAGCCAATTCTGTTTTGGTTAGCACTCCACCATTTGAGCCATGGCTTCACTTTGTGTGTGTATGTGTGTGTGTGTGTGTGTGTGTGTGTGTGTGTGTGTCTGTCTGTCTGTCTGTGTGTCTGTGTGGTTAACTGAAGAGGAAAGTCTCAAGAACTTTCCTGTCTGGCCTGCCTTTGAACGGCAGTCCTCAGATCTCAGCCTTCAGAGTAGCTAGGATTACAGGTGTGAGCCACCACTGCTTTGTTAATAGTTAATTTTTTTAAAAATAAGAATTGTTACAAATGATTGGAAGGACAATAAATCCTTCTTTTAATATTAGAAGAAACCAAACAAATCTAGTTTTGAGTCTGAGGACTACCCTAGACCAAGAAATAAAGGTTGAATGCATTGGGACCTTCCCATAGGTCTAAACCTGTCACACATGTTGTCTTTCATTTTCACACATCCTGTTTTAAAATGGTAATATGAGGCATATTAGGGGAATTGGAACGCTTTAGGTAAAAGATGAAAGAGCAGACCACCTACCAGAGCTCCACTACTGAGCAGAATCATGAAGACAATGAAAGTTTCAAACCAATTGTGCTCTACTATCTTGTAGCACGTTTTCCTCAGATTCCACCAGAGCTTCCCTTTGCCTTCTTCTATGCTTATCTGACAGCACTTGAACTTCCGTACACAGTCTAAAAGATAGGTGTGAGAGTAAAGAAAGATTATGTGCATTATGTTAATGGGACAGTCATCCTCATTACTGCCTTATACTATGTTGTAAACAATTTGATTTCTAAGAGGGTGTTCAATTATAGAAATAAAAATCACTAATGTGTCCTTTAAATCAGTCATTCATTCCTTGTTTGTTTTTATGTTTATAGGACTATTATGATGGATTGCATGATGAGACATAAAATCTGAAAAACAAAGAAAAATACAATTAAAAGCTCAGATTTGCATCTTACCTTTATCCTATGAATGCAAATCTACTCAGGAAATTTTATATATTTAAATTATGATAAAGTTCACTTGATGGAATATAATATAAATATTTCCCATCTTACAATGAATAGATTTATGAAAGATTTCATCTCTTTTCACTATAGTGTATATGGTCTTTTATTATTAAATATTTAAGTTGCTTTCTTCCTGGGGATTATTGGGAACAGTATAATAAGCACTTTTGTATAATGTATGGACAACTAGATTTAAAAGGCTCTTTAACAAATATTTATTGAGCAAATGCTATAATAGAAGAATTGTATCGGAAATATTAATGCTATAACTTGTATAATAGTATTGTCTTCAAATAATGTGCACTTTATATTGCATTGATTTTTCCATAAGTATTATAATGATAGGAAGCAACAATTATCATAAGACAATGTTTTATAAAAGTTTATCAATATTTGGGTGCCAGTGGCTCACACCTGTAATCCTAGCTACTCAGGAGACTGAGAGCTAAGGATCTTGGTTCAGTGCCAGCCCAGGAAAGAAAGTCCATGAGACTCCTATGTCCAATTAATCACCAGAAAACCAGAAGTGGTGCTGTGGCTCAAGTGGTAGAATGCTTGCCTTGAGCTGAAGAACTGAGGGACAATGCCCAGGCCCAGAGTTCAAGCCCCACAACTGACCAAAAAAAAGTTTATCAATAAAGTTTAATTTTGAGTTCCATGGAATAAAGAGAATTGGGGGTCTCAATCTTGAAGGAAGTATTCAAATCATATCTAAAACCTGTGCTGAAAGAATGAAGATCCTGATATAAACAAAAGTTCATGACAGGCACATTTAGGGGTTTCAAAGAAGGAATCTGAAGTTAAGACTAGAAAAGTAGCTAAAATCCAGTGGTTTCAAGTGGATGACATATGGCACCATTATTATTACAGTAGATAACTGATCCCGAACAGAAATGACATAATTTTAGTTGAAACTATTTCAATGGCATATTAATCCGATAATATAACTTACTGTATAGCTCATAATTTATATCATATATTATCTTTGCTCAAACTTATTTTTAAAAAGATGTGGATAGGGGAGGGACGGGTGAGAATATTGAAAGGGGTGACTTGATCAACATATATTGTATTCATAAACTGCTGTTAAATAACAACACCTTTGTACAACTACTTTAAAATTTAAAAAAAAAATTGCTTTGACTGATACAGTGGACTGCTACTCAAGAGTAAATTTAAATGTAAGATACCAAAGACTAAGCTGGGCACTGGTGGTTCACGCCTGCAATCCTAGCTACTCAGGAGGCTGAGATCTGAGGATCACAGCTCAAAGCCAGCCCGGGCAAGAAAGTCCATGAGACTTTTATCTCCAATAAACCATCAGGAAACCGGAACTGTAGCTGTGGCTCAAGTGGTAAAGCTCTAGCCTTGAGCTGAAAAGCTGAGGAACAGCGCCCAGGCCCAGAATTCAAGCCCCACAATTGACAGAAAAAAGATACAGAGGACTGCTATTCCTGAATAAATTTAAATGTAAAATGCAACTAGGTGTGATAATATACAGGGCTCTATGTATTTACACACAAATGGACTAAAGGAATGTATATGCAGAGGAGGAATCCAAAGGTATAACTCCTCTAAACAATTGAAATACTCCTTCTCCAAAATGAACTCCAGGAAATGGAAACATGTTTTTTTTTTGGGGGGGGGGGTAAAGGGGAATGTTTAAAGTTAAGAGTACAGGAATGAAGAAGAGAGTGAGCAAATGCAGTTATTATATTCAATATACAATGTATAATCATATACAATCATACAAGTATGATTCAGCTTCTTCTCCTGTTAGATATTTTAGAAGGCCCCAATGAAACAGCGTTTCTTAGACTTAAATACTATCCACAAAAATAAACTTATGTATTGTATAAATTAAACTTATTTTCAACAATCAACTTTGTTTTGACATAGAAAAGACTAACAGTAGCAGATCGATGAGTAATGAAAAATGATGAGAATGATGAGTAATGAGAAAGATGGGAATAGGTGATTAAAGTCTGACAGACAGAAAAACAGACAGAAATGATAAATGGCCCCAAGAAGGTTGCTGTCCAAATATGTCCCTGCTTTGCTTACCTTCTGTAAAACAGGCCTCAGGTTCGAGAGATTCTTCTGGTTCAACCTCAGGTTGCTCTCCCTCAGCGGGAGCCCCTATATCAACTGTGCTGCCTTCAGATGAACTAGTTGCATTTAGTTTCTGAAAATCAATCCCACAGAAAAGCTTTAAAATATTTTCTCTGCTCTCAATATAAAAAGTCATAAGGTCTGCCCTTATCCCTACCCCCAGTCTTCTGTATGCATTTTTCTTGAGCTGTAATTTAAAAATAACTTAAACGCAATGCCAATCTGCTTTGGTAGAAGTGGGGGGTCACAAGATTAGATACAGCACTCTAGAATCATTTTTTCTTTAAATATTGTGCTAACAACAGAAATAACTTTTGATGCAGCCCATATACAAGGATTTTGAAATAGGATCCTGCGGCAAGTTTATGAAAATATAGAGTCATCTATAGTCTTGCTTGTGTAAATTAGTTTGTAAATAATATTTGGTTCTAAAATTGTGACCCAACCAACGAAAGCTGCACAAGTGTATTTTCATGTCAAATGCAGAAAAGATCTGATTCAATGCACACAGACAGCAACCATCTAAATCTGTCCACTTTTCATTGACATGAAAACATATACTACTGATTGTTATTAAATGTAGACTATTATTTTCTAGTTCAGAAAAGAGCAGCACATTGTTAGCTATATAGCAAGAGCTGAAACTTTGCATTCTCTTTGGCCAATGCACTTCCTGGTTTCATTGTGCATTTGGAAACTACTTGTTACTCTGGCACTCTCGCCTGTCTTGTTAGTAAAGACAGAAACACATCTTTAGTTTTTTTCTTTGGGTTAAATCAAATATAAAAAGAAAAAAAACCAACATTGAGAAGACTTTGCTTGAATCTTGAAATGGATAAACTTTAGCTAGGTTAAGGCCAGTCTTGGGATCAACGTAAATAAAGAGATCCCAGTCTTAAAGTTGATTTTAAGAAACTACAGAAATGGTGCAAGGCCAGGTGTGAGTGCCACATGGAATCAGAGTAGTTTAGGCCACAGCATTCTCGAACCTGTCACAATGTTATTACCATTAGTGCATAGCAGTAGGGATGGTGGAGCTTCAAAGAGCTACTTTGTAGAGAGGATGAGGTAAGCACATGATAAAATGCACACAAGGTATGTACAACTAGAATAAATAGTATTCGATAGCCAGTACTAAAAAGATTCTTCTAAAATTTGGGCTAAGGATTTAGTGGATTTCCCCCTATAAAAAGGGATCCTTTCATTTATGAAAAACAATTTTGTTCTTATATAGGAATAAAAGAAAACATTTATATTTATTTATATGTAAAGGAATGAAATATGTAAGTATGTTATATGTGGTATTTCAAACATGTTTGCCTCAGCTTATCTAACAATGCCAGTAACAGATGCATAAGTATTAGATAAACCTGCCTTCTTAGATTTAGTCCTGTGATTAAAAAAATTTAAAAAACCTTAAATATTATATCTTATAAGGTGGTTGAAGATTGTTCTTCAATCAAGATGTTCTTCTAATCAAGTATGCCATAGTATTAGATAAACTTATCTTTGTCATTAAAGCATTGAATGCAAGGTAAAAAGATTTGTTATAAATATTCTGATTTTAGCAGGGGGTCTGCGGACATGGAGGAGAAGTCCCAGGTCAGGGGCCAAAAACAAACAAACAAACAAATAAATATTCTGATTTTGTAGACTTTTCCTAATTACATTTCCCTTTTCATTTTGTTAGACTTTTTGTTAGGTAAACTTGAGATTATATACATGTAATCAACTGAGACTTTATGAACATGGCCTCTTACTTTAATCCATCTAATTCACATGAAGCCATTAAATATTAGGAACCACAGATGATGTCATTTACAGGAGGTTGAAACAGAACACAGGTAATCAGACAAATTGAGGTCTACTCTTATCTGCTGCAACTATAGACAGTACACAGTGAAAATGGAAGCTTCCTTTAAAGATTGGAGATTGCAGTGTAAACACCACGCAGCGGGACAAGTGAAGGGCCCGAGAGAAAGTAGAAAGTCTGCTCTTAGGGCTCTACCCATGCTTTAGTGGCATTGGTGAATGACTACATCAGAGCCTTCATCAATCTTGAATGGTGTGGCAAGTGTTCAGTGAATGCGGAAGGGATGACATAGTAAACAATACAATCTTAAGGTTGAAGGTTACGTGGTGGATGAAGTCACCAGACAAAACAGTACAGGAATTCAGGGTTCAACACAGTCACATCAGGGTCATTCCTGTGGTATTATTTCTATTGCCAAGGAGCCGGACTGAGGATGCTTAATTAGGTCATGAAGACCTGGGTCACCAATAATATCCTCTCTTCTCTGTTTATCCTGCAGCAACCATACTTCTTCCGTTCACAGCATCTCCCTAAAGAAATCTGAATGCCCAATTTATTCTATGCTCCTTTTGCTCTCATGCAAGTACTTTAGATTGTTCATAGTCTTTTTATGGTTTAGCTTACATTTGGATCTTCAGTGTTTCAGACAGCTAGATCCCAGTCTCCTTAAGTGGCTTGTGAGACATTTAGGGCAAGAGCCATGTACTCTAGGTCCTACAGCTAACACAATAGTGTTTTTCAGTACTAAAAGGAGATGCTGAATTCCTGACATACTTTTTTTGAGGTTCCCTGATCCGTTTATATTTTTAAATTTTATTTTTATTGTAATGATATACAGTTACACAGGTCATGTAATGAGTACACTTTTTTTTCCAATGAAAATTGAGTGGAAGAGAAAGCCATGAGGTAGCTCATTGGCATTCAAATGCTAGTCCAAATTAGGGAATATTATAACAATTAGAGAATATAAATTAGATTTTTCTCATTCTCAGCTGAAAATGAGAATTATTTAGAAGTTCTTTTTAAAAGAATACTTTTTAGATCGATGTCTGGAAACTCTAATAATAAAAGGCACTTAGGTGTTACCTCTTCTCTAGATAGAAAAATTGAGTTTCTTTATATTCCAGCACAGTGCCTTATTGATGATCCAGAAACAATAGACACATTTTCCTAGAAGTCAAATAGGTCATTACCTTTACAAAAATGCAACCTAAATTTATTTTGTGCTCCTAGAAAATGTACCTTACTAGACTAAACTTTTTGTAGCAGAAGACCATATTGCTCCCATCATTGTAACCCTTATTTTAGTTTACTAAATCTTTGTTGAATGAATGAGAAAATGACCAGTACATCGTCTTTTTATTTAACCATTAACCACTTATAACAACTCCTATTTTATACTTTCACATTCAAAGAAATATAAACAATATGTAATATATAAATGATATTCTGTCTTATATTCCCTTGGGTTTCTGACTTATATATAAATGATCACCAACAATTTTTAGAATTAGGTGTGCCAATAATCCAGACATAACATGAATCCATAAACTAGTTGAACTGTGAAGTCAGGAGAAGTACCACAGAATCATTTTCACATTATTTTGCTCTTTTCTACTTTATGTACATAGATCTACTATTCTAAGGGTGAATGAAACTTTTTTAAGGAGATAGAATCTCATCCTTTCCCATCTTACCCTGAAGTGAAATAGTATGTGTGACTTGTATATGCTATACTTGTGGTACTCAATTGACAAGTGGCAAAGGGTATAAGCTGCATTAGTGGTTGAAGTCAGGCAGTCCAATTTAAAAGAATACATGAGTTGAATCCTGTTGTCAAAATCAAAGGGTTTATTAGTTATAGTCTAAGTCTTCAATAACCCAGTCTGCCATTGTTCTCTAGGGAATTTCTTTGGTAATTCACAAGTAAACTTAACTTTTCTCAATTTTAAATAGTAGCTGAGATGTATACATAATTTAAATTTTTGATCATGTTTATAACATTGTTGATTTTCATGTTTTAACTGTGAATCTAAATATTAATTCAAACTATATGTGTAATTTGTAAAGGTATTAATATAGAGTAGGGGTAGATAGATAATAGGATATTTCATGAACGAAAGGTTGTTTTAAACCATAATCCTGATATATAGGCCCCAAATTCTGGTTTGTAGACTCTCTCTTGACATTTGTTCAATGCCTTTCTTAAAAAGAAAGCAAATAATAAAATTTGTTAGAACAGTTCAAGTGTATAAGAAGCCTATAAAAACAAACAAGTTAAATTAAAAACAAAAACTTTAGCTTCAGATTTTTTTTTATAGTTTTTGATCTAAATTATGATCACCCTATAAATCTGGAGTATCTGTGACAGGATATTTTGTTCCCAGGTATAAATGAGTGATTCAAGAATATATGATCTTTACTTTTTTCAAAAAACCAAACATGTAGCTGGGCACTGGTGGCTCATGCCTATAATCCTAGCTACTCAGGAGGCTGAGATCTGAGGATCGTGGTTCAAAGCCAGCCCGGGCAAGAAAGTCCATGAGACTCTTATCTACAATTAAACCAGATGTGGCTCTGTGGCTCAAGTGATAGAGCACTAGCCTTGAGCTGAGGAGCTGAGGGGACGGCATCCAGGCCCAGAGTTCAAGACCCATGATTGATAAAAAAAAAAAAAAACACAAAAAACTGTTATGTTAGAGTGATTTTACAGTTTTAATAGCAGAAGGAAAAGAAACTAATTTAAAATGAAGTAGTAGCAATTAATTAACATTTCAAAATATTACCAAATTTGATGAAGTGAGGTGGTTAATGTATTTGTTCCCAGAACTGTGTTTCAATATCACATAATTAATGGTGCACTAAATAGAACTCACAGAAAGATGTTATACTCTTTGTTATATCATGAGATAGGGAGGTTCCTTCACTTAAAATAACCAGAGGAGCAAAACCTCACAATTCTATTTCTATGTAGGAGTTTGCAGAGGTAGCCACACATGGTATACTTAAATAATATGGTTTAAGGCAACAGATGGAGAGGAGACAGAAAAATCACATTGGGAGATTAAAATCACATTGGACAACAAGATGAAGGAGGTGAACTCCAGATGTATTTTCAGAATGAATATACCACATACATATAGTTAAATCTAAGGTTCATCATTACTATTTTTTTGTGTACAAATAGGCTTATGTTTTTTTTCCTTTAGTGAAAGAACTGTACCAGTAAATATCAACAGAATCTCCAAGAGACTTATATTTAAACAAAGTGATGAAGTGATGCCTTTTTCTCTCAAATAAAACAAGTAAAATGATACCCGTGTTGCTGAGAGCCAAAATGTAAATCTTCCAATTCAGTTCTATTATTACCACACTGAAATGCCCTTTAGGAACCTTACATGTGAAGAAGGATTGCTTTGACTTGCAGATAACCATTTAAAAACTTAATAGGACATTAAACAAAAAATTAACAACAATGCACACTCGTTGGGGCTGTATTTAAAAAGAAAAGAAAAACAGATGCAGGGGAGAGAAAGAGCACCTACATTTCTTCATTATAGTCTTAGCCTATTTGATGGCTGTAATAGTCAATGAAAAATAAATACTCCATAGAGGCATGCACTTGAACTTTTCATTAATCTGATTTCTACTAAAACCGATGTAAGAAAAGTAGCAGCTAAATTGTTTTTTTTTTTTAATTTTTAAAGTTGAGGCTGTCAGACTTGTCTGACCATGCTTTATATAACTCAGCATAAGAGCAGCTGGACATGTTTTTATTTTAGTGCCAATGGATGGGCAAGGGAGGAGAGCTGAGTAGCATGCAGGCCAGTCAAAAGTCATTGAGAAACGGATTGTATTTATATATGCAGAACTTGCTTGGGTAACCTGGGCAAAAGTGGTGGCGCGAGTCTCTGGCTGGTTAAAAAACCCCAGAGCTGCATTCTTGATGGCTCCAGCTTGATTTTACCCCTGTGAGAAGTAAGAAGGGTAAGCAGTGAAGGTATTACTAAATCACATTTTAAAAAATTATCATTCAAGCATGGCTTCAACATTATTAAAATCTCTAAAAGTAAAACCAGTCATTCAAAACCATGAAAGGAATTATACTAAGGGCAATCAAAATACTGTAGTAAGAGATAAATTATACACTCTAGAGACATAAAAAGAGACGGTTTTAAAAATATCTCAACAACCTGAGTCCACTAAGCTGATCTTATCAGAAAAAGTTCATCCTCTCCAAAAGAGAAAAGTGCTTCAGTTTTGCTTGAACTTGGAAGAGATACAAGTTTCTTATCATTCTTTACTATTATGCATATGATCTAAAATGCACAATCCCAAACCACCAGTCCAAAATGACCAGACAGAAATGGGAAAAAAAAACATATACTAAGAAGCTAGTTTACGTAGGATGGTTTGAAATTGCTGGATACTTGTTTCTGTTATCCTTTGTTTTCTACTGAAAAGCTACCACCTAGGTAATACAATATCCAAAATGTATGCAATATATTCCCTTCCAAAATGTATGTAATATATTCCCTTCCTATACTATATGACTTTAATAATTTATTAGTTCTCAAATTATATTTACAAAGTGTGGTATAATGCCATAATTAACAATGGGTTTAAATAATAAACTTCAAAACTTAGGTAGCAGTCTTAAAAGAAGTAAGGTACTGAATATTTTATTATACTTAACCTGTTGATACAAAGGGAAACTAATGGCAGGGACTATATATATTAAAATTCTAGTGATCTAACTTTATTTTCTAAATCTTGACTTCTCTTTATTGCACTATACAGTATTAGAAGCATAATACATTTAAGCATAACCTAAGTATGTTCATTTAACATTTGTAAAAGTTGAAATATATTAACTTGAGGGTATGAATGGGCTGGGAAGGGAGGGAGAAGGGTGTTGGAAGGGGGTGACATTGATCAAGAAGCATTATCCTCATAGCCTGACTTGTGGAATTGGAATCCCTTTGTATGATGACTTAAAATAAAACTAAATAAATACGTAAAACAATATCTTGTATGGTATTTAAAAATAATAGCATAATTAGTAAGAATTGGGACTTATTACAGTAATTCTTTATGCAAAGAAGAGATTACTTCTTTCCTCCAGAATTTTTGTTACTTTTGAAGCTGGCAACTATGGCCCTGTTACTTAGATCTATTTTTTTGTACCTATGTATAAACCTACTTGAATTTCATGTTTAATAGCTACATCTACCTAATCACCAACTTAGTAATGCTATCTACTTTATATATCAGAAAATACCACATTATTCTATGAAATATATCTAGAAATACTAAAATATATCTAAAGCTCTCTTTTTAGATGTGTATTTTTCTGCATTATTTTGACTGGTTCATAATGATCATGATTGAACTGTATCCTAGTAGCTCAAAATTCTCTATGTATCATTCTTAGAATGAGAACAGTAATAGAGATCTTGATTTTCCCTTTCAAGCAATTCAAATAAGGAAAGTGAAAATCTTGCTTTGGATTTTATTTGTTCATACAAGTTTTGGTTGCTTCAAATCTTATCTTCATTTTTGTATAGTTAACTCATTAAATACCAAGTTAACATTTTCCCTTTTCTATCAAACTTCACCTTTATTAATTTGTAGGTTAATAAGAAGCAAAGCAAAGGAAAACATATTACTCATGATCTTCTTGTAAGTCAAGGAACAGTTTTCTGTAGCTTCTATTCTTTTGGTAAATTCAGAGTTTCGTATTCTTTAATGCAGGCCTTTTGTTTGTATAGCCGAGGCGTTGGTCTCAGCAAGGTAAACATGTTTACTCTGATTCCTAATCACTAACTTTTCTTTCTTAAAAATTATTTACCTTATAAACCACAAAATGATCATTACACATCAAGCCAAGATCCCAGTCAGATTTTCCATTACTTATTAAGTCTGAAGAAACTAAATAAAAATCACACTTCATGAACTATTTCAGAAAAGGAAGCGGTTTGACAAATGAGACTAGGAAATACCTTCCCATCAAGTACTTTTCTCTTACACATACCTTCCCATTAAGTAGTTTTCTCTTACACACACACACACACACACATACCACACCACACCACACACACACACAAACCAATATTGTGGGCCAATTATAGGGAAGAAAGTACACAAACAGGCATTTTCCCAAATCTAAAATTACCATAAACTACTTCACAAAATCCAGTCACTCAGTATGATAACTTCAGAATGAATTTACAAAGGCAAATAGTTGGAAGAAGTGAGTCTATCATTTGTAAAACTACATTTGAATCTATTATTCATCATGTTTACTAATAGAAACTGTATGAGGAGGTTTTTCTTATTTCAGAAAAGACTCAAACAATTGAAAAAGATCTAATTGCTTTAAGGCAACGAGAATAGATAATATCAAAATATCCCCTTGTTGAAAATTCCTACCTCTTTGCTTTCCTCCATATCTGACTCACTGCTGAACTCTTCGGTGTTTAAATTTTCAAAGTCAGACTCTCCTACAGCAATGGGCACCGTCACCGTGAGGCTGGGGTTGTTTATGAACGACATGTAGTCACTTTCATCAACAACATACTTTTCTACACTGCTGCCTATGCCGCTGGTGGTTCCATTTCCATCTTTGAGACAGTTGAGGTCTTTGCTTATTTCTATGGTAGTGTGGTTGGAAATACAACTGTCTTTTTTGTTATTTAGATCCTCAAGAGGTTTAATCTCATCTAATGCTTTCTGCTTTCTCACAAATGCCTTCTGAATAAATTCACGTATTTTTCTCTTCACAAAATCAATTCCTTTCTGCATCCTTCCCACAGCAATCTGGAGGTTATTCATTTCATTATCATCATCAGTGGCAGCAAGGTTGTCAGAACTGAAGGAACTCAGCAGCAAGGCTAGAAAGAGGTTGAGAACCTAAAACACAGTAGGAAAATAGGTGGTTATACCATTCTGTGGTTCAAACTGTCTTTAACTACAGGTTTTTTCCAAATTGTCTTATTCCTATTTTATATTAAATATTTCTCCTATGTTAAGGCATACTATTCTGAAAAACAGTGAATAAAATAAATACCTGGCTTGTGTGAAATACTAGTATTAGCACTATTTTTCCATCATTGCAAAATCACCAACTTCTTCATTGCATGAAATATCTATATTAAGTTCAATTCCACATGATAAATATGCATAACTATCCAGTGAAAAAGAAAATAAAATGTTTATTTATGAGGGTGTTTTATTTAGGATGGTATTTTAACCATAAAAATCTATATTTCTCAAGATGCTAATAATTTATCTAATTTTATTTCCAAACATAGCCATGAGTATAAATCATATATTTGGCTATAATTCTGGTATATCTAAATATGATTTTAGTTTTGTTTCTTTTTAGCAATATTCACCTAGACTTGTTTTTGCTAAATTTATGAAAAATATACTAACTGCTACATTCAGAGTTCTAATTATTGATTCAGAAAATCATGGCTAGTGTATTTGTACAAAAGTTAGAAATACTATAAGGATATTGTTATTATCTTAAAAACATTAATATTGAATTAAAGGTTAATAGTCTCTAAATATAAGCCTCATTTGAAGGAGCAAATGAAAGATTAGTGACAATAAATCCTCTGTGTGCACTCATAGAGAAATAATTAGTAAAGAACCAAGCATTTCACAGAATTTAGTTGACAGTGTGTGGAGGTCCTCATCATGCATACAGAACAAAAGAAAGACATAGCAGTAAAAAGGACCTTTATTATTACTATTATTATTGTTTGTCGTTCATGAGGCCTGAACTCTGGGCCTGGGCGCTGTCCCTCAGCTCTTCAGCTCAAGGCTAGTGCCCTACCATTTGAGCCATAGTGGTACTTCCAGCTTTTTCTGCTTATATGGTGTTGAGGAATCAAACTCAGGGCCTCATGCATACAAGGCAAGCACTCTACCACTGAGCCACCTTCCCAGCCCCAGAAGACCTTTTGAAAAAGGAAACAAATACAAAAGAAAAAGTCTGGGGAAAAATTTTAAGTGAAACCCCAATGAAAATAAAGGCACAGTGTAAAAGATCCAGGAAGTACTAACTGTAATACCAGTACTACTTCATGATTCCCGGTAATCACACCAAGACTTGATCCTCTATTTATGAAATTTCCCAATGATTTTTTATTGTCATTTGTCTTTGGGTTTGTTGTTTTGATTAAAAATAGAAAAAATTAAATATAAAAATAGATTTATGAATTTGAATTTATTTAATACATATTGATTTAATAAAGTTAAATGTTAAATTAAATTTTTACCTATAAGAAAGATATGATTCAGTTTTTACCATGTTTGAAGACATAGATTTTAAAATTTTTGGAAGATTGATATGATTACTGCGTATAGATACTGTTACTTTATGCCTATTAAGGAATCCAAATGAATATTAAATATCAACTATAGCTATAAGTTATGGGTACTTTTGAAAGTCTTTTTTTGTACTTGAATTCTCAGTATAATTACATACTAGAATAACATGTTTTATTTCAATAAACTCTTCAGTGTATCAGATTGACTGAGTCTCTTTCTCCTTAAATACATTCTGTGTTCTTCTGTTGGATGATTTTCACCAATATATCAATTGTTCACTTTCACTTCATGATAAAAAGGTATCTATATCCTTGAATACAGACCCAATTACTTTAACCACTGCAACTCAGAATTTCTGTCAACAATTATTTTTATTTTTTTCTTGTTTTTGGTGACAAAAGACAGTCCTTCAAATTTATTTTTTTCTTAATCATTATATTACTTTTTAATTTTTATTTTTTGTGAACATACTGTACAGAGGGGTTACAATTACATGGGCAAGATATTCAACAATTATTTGTTTAATAATTAATCTGTTTGAGTCTTTCCTTCTCTTCTTCAATATGTGTAATATAAGGTATCTTTAATATAGCTTATGGCCTTTTCTTTCTTTTGTCTGCATGGCTCTATGTCTACTTCTTCCTGTTCTATTCAATCTTTTACATTTCTAAAAGCAAACACTTAAAATTTGTTTTCAAGATTCTGGCGACTTTAAAATATACCTACACACTACTTAATACACTCTCTGTCAAGAAATAGAGCTTCAATTCTTCATGAGCACAAGCTCCTGTTAGTAACTAGCTTCTTATGAACACATCATGGAAGAAGTAAGGGACCCTGACTGGTAAGATGAGCACATGCCCTCTCTCTAGTATCACTTGCTTTGGGAGAAGCTAGCTGCTGTATCATGAGGAAGCTCAGACCATTATTGAGAGGCCCATGATGAGAGAAATTTTGAACTTCAACCAACAGCTAACATTAGGCTGGCACCACTTCCTAATAGCCATGAAACTGAGACTTCTTTGCTGGTCTTCCAGCCCCATCAAGATGTCTGTAGCTCAGCCAACATCTACCATGTCAAGAATGACATTACTGACCCAGAGTCAGAACCACCCAGATAAGTTGCTACTAGATTGCTTACTCACATAAACTATGCAATAACTGCTCTATATTTTAAGCTGTTGTTCATAGTTCTCAGCTGTATACTGTCCATGTCTCTTTTTACTTTGAAAAATCCATGGAATTACAGTTGTGTAACACTTGTAAGGCCGTGACTTTCATCCAAGGCCCCATAGAAAGACACATTATTTAGGAAGGACAAGGAGTCTAAAATAAATTCTGTAAGTAAAGGAATAAAAGGATCATCTTGTGCCTTTTTTCTCAACTTAAGAAACTGAAATGTATCTGTCTTTTTTTTTTGAGGGGGAGCAATACTTGGCTATGAACTTGCGATCATTTGGCAGGTGCTTTGCTAGTGGTGCCATGCCTCCAGTCCTGGAGTTTATTTATACTTAGACAGAAACAAAGTCCATTTATTATAGGTTTTAAAATAGTGTTTGCAGTAATCTTTTCTATTCCAGTGGTTTGAGTCTTAATGAAACATTGCAGTATAATCGATATCTATATCTATATATATGTCTGCTTCTTTTGACAAAGCCTATTGTACTTTACTTCCCATCCAAGGAGTGCACAATTTCCTACTGTGTACTGTTTGCTTTTCTTCCTTAAAGCTAATCTTCCATTTGCAACTATTACAGGTCCAAAATCTTCGATACAATCTTTCTATTATACAACAGTTTTTCCGCTTTGTGAACCTGAGACATAGCATTTTGTTTTCACATATATTAGATACTCCTATTTGATTAACCATCATGACATGGTCATATTCTTGTGTCTGTCATCTCCACACTTCCAAGACTCATTATAGCTGTACTGGGTGTAGTTAATTTTGATGTAGAAAGTACAATTAGTGTTTTTTGAGTCAAAGTTATTGACTCATACTGTGGTTTCTGGGACCAAATGTCCTGTGTGCTTTTAATGAGCTGAAATGATTAGTAATTTTTAAAACTTCGGGTTCTAGAAGTTTGAAATATTTTCAAAGGACATGGTTACCTGTATTTGTAAGCAAAATGAGTGGCAGATCTTAATGACACTTCAATACATTAGTACAAGAACTGAATGATAAAAACCCAGACATGATCTTCTCCTTGGATCCAGTAAGAAGAGAGTGAGGAAGAATGTCTTTGTGGCTCAGGAGTTTTGAGAATTTTTGTGGATTACACAGCCTGTATAATACCTAGCTCCTGTCATCGTGAAAATGAGAAAACTAGAAATAAATTTGTATAAAAGTGATTACCCACCAAGACATACAGAATGTTAAATAGGACATGCATTAAAAAAAACAACAATCTCATCAACTTTTCTTCGACTATGGAGGGAAATAATTGTGCTACCTACCACGAGGTTTCCAATCACCATGACCATCATGAAGACGGTAAGGCACATGGTCTGGCCAGCCACCTCCATGCAGTCCCACATGGTTTCTATCCACTCTCCACACAGCACGCGGAACACGATGAGGAAGGAGTGGAAGAAGTCGTTCATGTGCCAGCGAGGGAGTTTACAATCATTGGCAATCTTGCAGACGCATTCTTTGTAGCTCTTACCGAAGAGCTGCATGCCGACCACAGCAAAGATGAAGACGATGATGGCCAACACCAAGGTGAGGTTTCCCAGCGCCCCCACGGAGTTGCCGATGATCTTTATTAGCATGTTCAGCGTGGGCCACGATTTTGCCAATTTGAAGACTCTAAGCTGGAACAGAAAGAAAGAAGGCTGTTAATGCCCTGCATTTCACCTGAAATTTTATTTACAGCAGAAATAGTCAGTGTAACAGCTTCAAGCACAGAAAGAATGTGTAAAACCATCAACTAGTAAATGTAGCAGATATTTTGAACCCTGGGGTATTTTCCCTTCTTAAATATTCTGTATCACAAACAAAGTAATTATATTTCATTTTTTACCTTGGCAAAATTTTCATACTCCTACACAAAGACACGACATGTACTTTTTTTTTTATAAAGGAACTAAAATACTTAAGATTAATTGTGGTTAATTAGCAGAGACTTGTTTTCAAAGAAGCAGAGACTCTCTTTACTTAAATTCCTAAAGCAAATATATTTGTCAGTGTACTTGAAATATCCCACTCTAGTGCATAAATGAAAATTACAACACATATATTACACAAAGTGCAAGAGGAAATGAGCTCATTTTGAGTATTCTGATGAGCATATTTCAGCTGTACGTTTTGCTTGTATAACATTAGGCTATATGATTTATTGTATTTTAAGGAGAAATTTTGGCCTTGAGTAAAATGTTACATTTTTTTCAACAATGATGTCTTCGGTGGCTTAATTAATCAAGTCATTATGGTTTGTAAATGTCACTCTGCCTTGTGCTTGACACTTTGGCTGGATTAGCTCATAGAGGCCTCCGAAGTACCATTTGCAGATCAACAGGAGCATTATTTTGTTTCTGATGCTTCAATAAATGTCAGGCAGAGAGTAACATGTTATTTAATGGCATTTAAGTGACTCAAAGGAGTGAATACAAGCACCACAGAGCATAATTTTTTGCAAAAGAACCTGAAACACCAAGTAAGATTGCAATGATATAATGCTCCCTCATTCCCTAAATTGCACTGCTCTATCACTAAGGTTTAATAAACATTTAAAAATCCTAGCCCATATTACTTGTCATACAATCATTTCTAACTTTTGTCTCTACTTCTTACACTCTTCTGGCTTCAAATAGACACATAACTATGCTTGAGGACTAGGGAGAAAAATCAAAGTTCTAAGGATGTTAACTCAGATTGAACTTTGCAGGAAGCAAAGGAAATTTCAGACAGAATTTACCACCACATCTTGAGATCAATAAGCATTAAGAAAATTTGGAACCTACTGTGAGTCACTATATACAGCTGCTATCATTTGAGTATAAACTTAGAGCATGCTCAAAATAGTAGCACACAAAAACATCAAACTTCCAATAGAAATGTATCAAATAGTATTATGTCTCTTAATTTTAAGAGATATCAAAATTTGTGAAATATAAAAATCTTCCATCTATCTACATATCTAGTTGAAAGAGAGAGCAAGAGAGAGAGATTTTCTCTAAAATTAACAAATGCAATCCAGGCAACTCTTCTAAGAGAATGGATTTGGTAACTTTCTGATCTGATGGAAGAAGCAAAAGAAGCAAATGTTGGGGAGATCTGACTACCTCATCCCATAAACAAGCCTTGGCTTCTAAGGGGACAAAATGGGCAGTGAGCCAGCTCATAATTCCTGAGGTCCAGATGAAAAAGGAAGTCCACCCTAGGCTCCAGTGAAGTCTTGTATATGGTCACACAAACATCAGAGAACTGAGTTGACTACAGATTTTGTTTAAAGTTGTGTTTTGGGTTTATCTGTGACTCTATTTTTCTCCACATGACATCTGCCATTGGCTTTCAAAGGAGAGAACTGTTGACTGTTCACTTGAATATAAAGTTACTCATCAAATTGACGATAAGGAACAGAATCCAATCTAGTGGTGAGGCAGTTCATCCAGTTAGTATTCAGAAATGTTTAAAAATAATATTACAATTATTTAAAAAAGGGTATGATGATAAGAATGCAATAAAATTGATTATAACATCTTATGGGCACTTTTCGTTAATTTACCAGCCGGAATGATCGCAGAACTGATAATCCTTCCACATTTGCCAAGCCAAGTTCCATTAAGCTAAGGCTCACAATAAAGCCATCAAATATGTTCCAGCCTTCTTGAAAGTAATAATATGGATCCATAGCAATGATCTTGAGGACCATTTCTGCTGTGAAGATCCCAGTGAAGACCTGAATGAGAAATGGAGTTATTACATGATTAATGAGAAATGGAGTTATTACATGATTAAATATTCTCGGAACACAGATAATTTGGATCAACAAATCAAATTTTCTGGTTTGCTGATAGTTTCTTTCATAAATATTGAGACTTTTTTTCAAATACCTTTTCTACATATGTTGAGATGATATTAGGATATTCTCTCCCTTATTATCTTAATATACACACTTGACAGATTTGTGAGTGTCATACCAGTTTCACTTTTCTGTCGTTATACCTCTTTTTTTTTTTTTTTTGATTGGTCTTGGGGCTTGAACTCTGGTCCTGGGCACCGTCCCTCAGCTCTTCAGCCCAAGGCGAGTGCTCTACCATTTGAGCCACAGCACTACTTCCAGTTTTCTACTGGTTTATTGGAGATAAGAGTCTCACGGACTTTCTTGCCTGGGCTGGCTTTGAACTGCTATCCCTAGATCTCCGCCTCCTGAGTAGCTGGGATTACAGGAGTGAACCACTGGGGCGCCTAGCTTTAAACCTCTTTTTTAAAGATGTATTATTTTTCTTATTCTTTATATTGTTGGATTTTATGAGAAATATATTGTTTGTGATTTTTTGCCTCCAAATTTATGACAGACACTATTCTGTCAGACAAGAAGTTGCTTGCTTTCCTGTGGTGCTGTGGCTAGCATGCAAGACCTTGCACATACTGTGAATTGCTCTACCACCAAGCTGCATTCACAGCCCTAAGAATGTTTTATGATTTACTTCACAGCATTAATAATGTGTCACTTTTATTTTTATCTTTCACACACCTTAAAATTCTGTATATTATAAACCTTTGCTTTAAACTAACATTTTTTTGAAAACATGAAGGGAAAAAGATAGAAGACACTGTCATGTGGTCATATCCATTCATTTCTACATGACCATAATTTCCATAGCCATTTTGTCTAAAGAATTTTTTTTTGCATTTCTTACAGCAAAATTCTGGTATGGTAACACTACTATAGGTTTTCGTTTATATGAAAAGTTTATTTCACATTAACTTTTCATGGATTGTTTTATAGTTTGTGGTATAATGCTTTTATCTCCTCCATTTTTTCTTCCTCTCTACCTCCCTTCCTCTTTCTCCCTTCCTCTCTTCCTTTTCTTTCATCAGGCCACTTTGTTCTAATCTAAATTATTTCTGATATGTTAGTGTCATGTAAATAATTTTTCTTTGGCTGCAAATTCCTTCCTTAAGCCTGGTATGGATTTGCTCAAATGTGTGGAAACTTTACAAAGTGATGTTGACATCTGTAAGGTAAAATTTCTTTTTACCATATTTTTGGTCATTTATTATTCTAATATTTGTTATGTCCTATTCTCTCATTTCATCTTTCTCATTTTGCAAATATAACACATATGAATATTGTCAAGTTGGATGATTTTGATGGATTTACTGCAAGTTAACAATGATTTTTTTCCCCTTTATTTGCTGCTTTATTTTAAACTCATCCAGTGATTTTTTTTTCTGGTCCTCATGCCTTAACTCTGGGCCTGGGTGCTGTCCCTTGGCTTATTTTTTCCATCAGTCGTGGGGCCTGAACTCTGGGCTGGGTCACTGCCCTCAGCTCTTCAGCTCAAGGTTAGCACTCTACCATCTCAGCCACAGCTCCATTTCTGGCATTTTTTGCTTATGTGGTGATGAGGAATCCAACCCAGGGCCTGTGCATGCAAAGCAACACTCTAACACTGAGCCACCTTTCCAGCCTCCCTGAGCTTTTTTTTGCTCAAGGCTAGCACTCTACTATTTGAGCCACAGCACCACTTCTGGCTTTTTCTGAGTAGTTTATTGGAGATAAGAGTCTCATGGACTTTCCAGTTCAGAGCTGCCTTCAAACCATGGTCCTCAGATCTCAGCCTCCTGAGTAGCTAGGATTATAGGCATGAACCACTAGAGCCCTGCAAAGTGATTTTTTTATGCTAGAATTTGAACTTTGAAATTATAATACATTTAGATTACTTTGAATAGTTTCTAGAGTTCTCATGTTTCTATTAATTTTTCTGTTAATTCTTTACATGTATACTTACATTTAAAATACTAAACATATTTGCAATAGCTCCTCCAAAATACTTTTCCTGATTATTCTAATGATTATCCTACTCTTCAGTAGATTCTTGTTGAAATATTTTCCCTCTCAATTACGAGTCCTGTTTTCATACTATTTCACATGTCATAATTCTATATGACATAATTCTTATGTGTCCTTACTGGCAACTTCAATATGAGATATTTATTAACCCAGTTAATATGACATTCTGGCAGGTAATGCATACAAGGATATTTCCTGTATCATAGAGGGGAAATATGGCTTAACTTGAATGACCATTAATTGACCATTTGATGAATAAGTAATAACACATATATACTGTGGAACATTGGGTACTCATATTTTGTTGAAGCCTTTTGTAGTTTTGTTCATGTGGGATTTGGCTAGAATAGAGCGCTATTTCCTATGATTTTGTCTGGTTTTGATATCAGGATAATTCACATCTCCTAAAATTAGTCAATGAGAGTTATCTTCTCTTCTGACTTTTTGGACACAACTGGTATGGAATAACATTAACTTTCATTAAATATTTGGGAAAACTTATTAGTAAAATTAGCAAAACCAAGGCTTTCTTCATTTGCTAATTTTTACTTGGGTTTATTTAGGTTTAGATCTCCTTTATTTAGATCCTCTTAAACATCTATCATTGCTTTATGGTGAAACTATTCAAATATCTCTTCTTTACTATTTCTAAATTATATATTTATAATTACCTAGAGTAAAGCCTACTGTGAGATAGAATAGCAGGATCTATCAATCTTATTTATCAATACTGTAGTATGCTTTGTCCAAACTCTTCTCTTCCTTTCCCCCATTTGCCCAAGTTCTGAAACCGCCATTCTACTCTGTTTCTATGAGATCAACATTTCTTAGATTCCAGATATGGGTGAGACCATGTAGTTCTCTATCTCTGCCTGGCTTATTTCTCTTACCCTAATTATTCCTACTTTCATCCATCTTGTTGCAAATGACAGGGTATCATCTTTTTTGTATTCTTTTTAGTATTTTTGTACTTGTGTTTTTAAAAATATATTTTGTATTTCCTTAGTATTCTATGGTATTTATGTATTAGATGTTCTTTATTCATTTGTTACTTGATGGACACTTTCCATTAACTAGATGCTTCATTTTATTATTTTCCAGAAAAAATATTTTGAATGATGTGAACCTTTTTAAGTATATTGAGATCATCATCAGGGCTAATATATAGATTACCTTGGGAAACATTCTAGTTGCATTTGAGAAGGCTGTGTATCTTCCTTGTGCATTTTCTGCTACCCTTTGATTCACTTCCAATACAGAACATCACTTTCTTAACCTTCAGACAAGTCCTTATTTGAATTCTCTATTATTGCGTATGCTTTTTCAGTGTCAATTCTCCTTTCTTCTGGCAATAACTTCCTAATTTTTTGCTTTATAAATCCAGTCAGTTATTTTTCTTTGCCTCTAGTGGTAAGAGGGGATGCTTATTTGGCCAGATATGAAAATCTTATTCTAGAACTAGTGACTAACTGGCTTGCAAATGATCATTTCATTCTAATCAGGTTAATAATATTCAATTCTGGGGTTGTAGTTAAATCTAATGCTTAAGAAGCATGCTTGTTGTTGTTGTTGTTCAAAAAGCTGTATTTGTACAATAAAGTTAATACAAGCTTGCCAACATAAAGAAATACTCATCTAGAGATAAAGGAAACATACTTGTGAGAAACTGAGTCCCAGTGACATCTTGTGAGAATCTGAATTCAATCATGCTATCACCTGAATCTAGTTCCAAACAACCTGTAAGTACTCGAGGTTATAATTTCCCTTTATATGTGAATAAACTAATTTGACTCAAGTTTTACTATCCATCTCTGTATATTGATCTCTATCAGGTGTTCTTGTATTATTTTTCCACTGTTAGAGGTGATGTTGGATATTCCTATGCAGGAGAAAATTTGGATAAGTAACAATATTTTTCTTTTCTGATCTAAGCTTCTGTGAGTTCTGATCCCAGCTTTAAATAATCTTTCAAGGGGCTGGGAAGGTGGCTCAGTGGTAGAGTGCTTGCCTTGCATGCATGAGGCCCTGAGTTCGATTCCTCAGCAGCACATAAGCAGAAAAGAAAAGCCGGAAGTGGCGTTGTGGCTCAATTGGTAGAGCGCTACCCTTGAGCTGAAGAGCTGAGGGACAATGCCCAGGCCCAGAGTTCAGGCCCCACGACCGGACCCCCCACCCCCAAAAATAATCTTTCAAATACTTTTTATATTCTGTCAGAGTGTTCACAGTTTCTGTTACTCCATCAGTTTCTCATGGGATCAGTTTCCCCAATCATAAAACATGTAAAACTTACCCCAGGGATAAGTTCATGGGTACTTAATGAGGGATTCAGTATTGGCCACCTAATGTAGTATTTGATTCAAAATAGGTGATGGACGCACACTAGTGCTATCATCTGATTCAGGTAAGAACTATCTAAAATATAATTTTAAATATGTGGCAGTTAAGGATAACATGTATAATATACTTAAGAATATATTGTTTATGATTATAACATAATATAGAAAAATATGTTTATACTAAGAATATAGCACTGGGGCTGGGAAGGTGGCTCAGTGGTAGAGTGCTTGAGCAAGACAAGCACTCTACCACTGAGCCACCTTCCCAGCCATATAGCAGGCACTGTCTTTAGCTCTTCAGCTCAAGGAATCTACCATGTGAGCCACAATGCCACTTCCGGTTTTCTGTCATTTTATTGGAGATAAGAGTCTCACGGATTTTCCTGTCTGTGCTGGCTTTGAACTGTATTCAATATATATCTAAAATTGTGATTTATAAATTTTTAAAATTTTAGAAGAAATGAAAATCATATCCTTTATATGATGTTCTCTTCTTAAAGGATCCTTCTTCAGGTAGTTGAAAATATTACATGAAAAGTATCAGAGTTAACCTATTTTACAATTTGTTAGGCAAATGTCAAACATGTCCTAAGGAACATATTCTAAATTCCAATTCTAAAAGTCTAAGTTTGTTAATACAGATCCATGATCACCTTTCTAATGACTAAGCAATTGTAATGTCATTTCTATCAAATGTACATTCAAATCTCTTGAATCATCCGCACTCTGTTTAAGGGTGGCACCATGTTTTTTATTATTAAAAAATGATTGTAAAGTTTTATTGTTACCATGGGCAAAGCCAATGAGTGGATATTTTATTTGAGAGTGGCATGTAACTGAACAAAGGCCATTGTGAAGTGAACTTGTAGTGATGAGTCTTACCAGATTTCCAACAGACAGCACATTGCTAAAGTGCTCCGTCATTGGGTAGTGCTCCATGGCCATGAAGAGTGTATTCAAGACAATGCAGATGGTGATGGCCAGGTCCACAAATGGGTCCATCACAACCAGGTTGACGATATGCTTCACTTTCAACCATGGTTTACAGCAGTCCCAGATTAAGCACATGTTAGCAAACTTGTACCAGCAAGGTGGGCATTTCTGTCTGGATTCTTCAAGTTCTGGAAGAAAAAAGTTAGAAAACTCATGAAAACTGATTACTTTTTATTATAGTAGGATCTGGTTTGCATATTTTCTTTGAAAAAATATAAAATGTGGAAAAGCATTCTTGGGTAATCTGATGGAAGAGCCAGAGAAAACTATAGTAAGTTTGCTGCCCCAGGAAGGGCAAGAAAACCCAATATTCTATAGTTTCTGAGACTCTTTCTGTAATGTGAAGCTTATAGATCATTGTCAATCAGGCTAACAGATATAGTAGGATTTGAGTTCTTTCTCCTCATCCATGTTTAGATAGAGTAAGAAGCGTGCTTTATATTACCAGCCATTTCTCAGAAGATCCTTTAAACATCTTCATCAGTAATTTGAATCTCAGGTTTTTAAATTACATATTTCCAAATGCAATAATTTTGTGGTGTCAGTCTCAGTTTAAATGTCCTCACATTTATGTTAACTTCTATTTGATATAGGTTTGCAAATTAATCTTAAGAAGGTGTCCATTCTTATGTATCTCAATTTAACAGAAAGGCACAAAATAAGAGGAAATATCTAACCTGAGAAAGTTAAATCATTATTATTAGCAGAAATCAGCACTTCACAAAATAAGGTTCATGTACTACCAACAAAATACGAAAGGATCAGGTAGAATGTAATATTATTTGTACATTTATATGAACTGAAATTCATAGTTCTTATGAATTCATAATTCATGTTAAAAGGCTTAAAAATTCTTTTGCAAAGAATTTCAACTAAATAATTGAAAGAAAAAGTTGTTATCCATAGATCTTTCAGAACATATACATTTGCTAAATATTGGTAAAGACTTTTGGAGTTATCTACAACTTTCCTTTTTTTTTGGGGGTCCTGTTGTGGGGCCTGAACTCTGGGCCTGGGCATTGTCCCTCAGCTCTTCAGCTCAAGGCTAGCGCTCTACCACTTGAACCATAGCACCACTTCCGGCTTTTTTCATTTTGCTTATGTGGTGCTGAGGAATTGAACCCAGGGCCTCAGGCATGCAAGGCAAGCACTCTACCACTGAGCCACCTTCCCAGCCCCCCTTTTTTTTCTGTGATGTTCCTGAGGCTTGAACTCAGGGCCTGGGTACTGTCCCTGAGCTGTCTTTTGCTCAAGGCTAGCACTCTACCACTTGAGCAATAGTCCTACTTCCAGCATTTTAGTGGTTAATTAGAGCTAAGCATCTCATAGACTTTTCTGCATGGGTTGGCTTCAAACCCCAATCCTCAGCTCTCAGCCAACTGAGTAGCTGGTATTAACAGGTGTGTGAGCCACCAGTGCCTGGCTACCATCCTCTTTTGATAAGATCATCTCTTAAGAGTGAGAAAGACACATAATTCATTGTTTTCTGCCCACAGTATTGCTATACCCCATGTTACCTGCTCTGCCAAGCACAGGACTATCACTTGTTAACACTGAAATAAACGGAAGGCTTCTCTTTTCACCCATGCCATAATCAACTCTGCTCATTTAAGTCAGGTTACTATTGTGCTAACTAGGACATCTGACCCTCAGTAACTGGCTTAGTTCATGAAAAATTTAACTTTGTCAGGGATAAGGAGTATATGAAATAGGGAATCATAGTCATTGATTTTTGGTCACCAGTCAACATTCACCACTAATTTTATGCTATAAAGCTTTACCTATAAAGCTTCATTTCCCTAAAGAAAATGGATTTGCTGTTCACCCTTTAGCTGAATTCTATTAGAAGTAGACTTTTCAATGATCTTGTTGGATCATAAAATTCTTCAAGTGAACATTTTATTTCCATTATTAAAATATCTAATCAAGTAAACAAGAATAGGTGAATTGTAAATAATAGAAAAACATAAACATAATTATTACACAGTAGGTACTTTATGAATGCTTTATTATTCCCACATAATCTCATCTTTACCTCAAAGATACAAAGGAAGCAATATCATTGGCAATAAGCAATTAAGAAGAAGCTACAAAATCTCACTTGGCCTCTACATGTCAGAGTCCATACTAGCTGTGAATTAGGAGTTAAAGAAAAGCAAAAGGTATAAGCACTGAGGAAAAAAAATCACAGGAAAGTTCAAAGGGGGAAAGTCAGCAGGCATTGCTCATCTCAACACTAAGAAAAGCTGGAAAAAAAGTTGTTTCAAGTTCTAAAATAAAATCAGTCAATTATTTGATTACAGAATAAAAGGAAAGAAAATCTTGCACTTTGGGGCAAAGCAAAGCACATAACAGAGAACTACAGCCACCTCTGCACTGTTCCTGTGTAGGCTTCCCACATTGAGATTTATGCACTGCTGATTTTCTATCTTGGCCAAGCTCACCTTGATTTCCCCAGTGCATTTAACTAACTCAACCACCCATCATTCACCCTTCACAAAGATGTGAGCAGGAAATGTTTTTATATGCTTTTGCATTAAACATTGAAACAAGTAGACAATCCATGTTTGCTTATCCACCTCTGCTTCATTAAGCTTCTAACTGCTCATTACATTGGACAATGAAGAGTTGGCTATAGTTAAAAAAGAAGGCAAATAAAAGTTTCCAGCTGGATCAACAAGCCTGGTTCATAAAAAGGGAAGATGGTCTAAAGCTTAGAAGAAAGAATGTTCATATCAATAAGTTATAACAGCCAAGAAATATCCTCACCAATATCGGCACAGAAAAAGACTGTCTCAAAGTCAGCTTTAGTATGCACGTATGCATTAAATATTGCTGCCAACCAACTTAAGGCCACATTCAAATGGTTTAGCACAGTTAAATTAAAAAAAAAGTCAAGCCTTCATTCTATGGAACCAAAGAAACACAGAATAAAACACAATCCATAGTCACTCACAAAAACACAAAGCCATTGTCTCTCACAAAAAAAATCTGCAGAGATTGAAAACAAAACAGTGAGTCAATTGCCTCCTAAATAATCCATACTCATGGACTACCCTTTGCATCCTGCGTAACTCCACAAATGTGTTTCCATAGAGGAAGAGATGTGTGAATGCATTTTGAACTCCATATTTTAATTCATGGACATAGCCCAATCTTGTGATGGTTTGATATTTTAATAAGTAATTTCTTATGTTAGCTCAAACTTTACGTTATCAGAAGTGCAAAGTATGACTGTTGATTTAGACTTACCCTGTCTCCTTCTCTACTTCCTGCTTGGGGGAGCAGACATGCTGCTGACATCGGTAGCAGAACCACTGGCAGCTTCCTCTCAGTGGTTTTGCTATGGCAAGGAGCAGAAGACCAGAGAATCTTCAAAAGATTTAACCTGGAGGGATAGGGAGGAGCAAGCTACTGGCAGCTGGGGGGGAAGAAGGAGTGCAAGCTAATGCAGGCGAGGTTGGAGAAGAACGTACTCGAGTTTAATATTCCATTGAAATCAGTGAAAAGATTGCTGACACTGCAGTAGGACATTATGGAAATTGGGCTTGTAACATTGTATAAGTTGTGATGGATACAGTCATCTATAGAGTGAATTTTTTCTGGCTAGGAGTTTTATGCTTTGGGTTACTGATATTAGTATCATGGGAGCTTTGTATTCATGCTGGAAAAAAAATGATTCTTAGAATCATTCTCTACCCAATCTCAAGATAAATTGACTTCAAGAAAGGCATGCACACATTTACTCCATCTTTCACTCTTTTCTTACCTTTTTCCTTACACACACACACACACACACACACACACATATACTTTCACATGTAAGAAGTAGTTAAAGTTGTTAAAGGATACCGAGATAGAACACATTTTACATAAAAGTAAGAAGGGAAAATAGGACAAAATGGAAGAGATAGGCAAAGGGCCAGGATTGAATACATTTTACATCAAAGAATTATTTAAGTAGTTAATATTGACAACTGTTTGCATTTACTTGTGGCAGGAAGAGGCAAAACATGTGAATTAAAAAATAGCACAAGCGAATAATTAACAATGGTAAAATTTATTTACTGTCTTCTGCATGTCAAGTACATACATTCCTTATACAGAATGCCTTATTACTTCCTTATAGCAACTTTATGCCTAAGGATCATTATCCACATTTTACGGATAAGGAAACAAAAGTTCAAATAATAAAGGAACACATCCAACATGTAGCAGAGCCAGGAAATGATCACAGATTAAGCTGTCCCCAAACTCTCTTTATTTTGGTATGGTAACCAGATTTCTGAGCACTACTCAGATAAAATCTACAAAGAGAAGCAGATGTGTCATAATACTCTGATCCAAAAGAGACAAAAGTAGGTACACAAAATTTTGAACACTTCAATTTTGAACACTTGGCTAAATCAATTAATTTATAAAATGTATCTCCAGCAGTTCATACAAATGAAATGGAATAATGTCATCATAGTAAAATTCATTTTTCATACACTTTTTCAATATCATACACACAAATTTCAGAAGATTAGAATTTAATTTATAAAAGCAGAATTCCAAGTGTATCTTGAATTTTCAGCAGCTTACCAGAAGCTAAATGTATAGGATAGAGTGGAAACCATGTTGTATACATGGATTTTTCTTTTACTTTGTAAAAGAAATAATGACATGGTAACAAGTTGGGAAACATTTTTTCAGAAGTTATGGAAGAGGTTTTCAATCATTGCCAAAGTACCAGTAAGTAGCTGTTGCATGAGACTTTTGACATACCTTCCATGGTGTTTGTCAAAATGCTGGCTATACTCATTGCTCTTTGCCTTGATGTCGGGTCTTCCAGCAAATCCATGGAAACATGGTAAGAACTAGATCGTCTCTTTCTTAACTCCGTTTCAGTAGTTGTACCCTACAACAGCAAAATTTTTGACAACAAAATGGCATTATTTTTGAGGACAATAAAACCCAAAGGATATCTGTAAGAGGTAGTGACAAAAGGTTCACTACACGTTCTCAGGTGTAAGCAGCTCTTCAGAATGTTGCTGAAATCATCATTCTTGTTTTAGTGTCTCCAGAGAGACACTAAACCACTTGATTTTGCCACTGTGGGCTATCTCACTCTCCAATGCTGGAGCTCTGGGCTGGAGAAAGCATGATACTTATTAAATAGATATGTCTTTCATATTTTAATCTATCTGACTGATAACCTCAGATGGGAATATACTGCTTTTTTATTTACTTTATTTTTTATTTAGTTATTAACTCTTTACAAACACTCATGGGAATATATATCTGCTAAAGTCCTTAGTTTCCTCATATCGATCAGTAACACTTCCCCTGAAATATATTGCAAATATACAATACTTTGTTATAGGCATCCTTAATAACAAAACTAAATTTTAACTAATAGCTATAACTGTGTGTTACGTTTACAAAACATTTCTATTCACAGATAAGCCATTCTTGTCGTTGTAATTAGAAGACAACACTGAGTTGAGGGATTTGATATATAGCAGATACATTATAGTTGATATTTCCGATTCTAAAATCAACACCAGGGTTTCACGTTGGGTAGGAGTTTATTGCTACCTCAGGAATTCAAACAATGAAGTTAATTATCACAGGACAAAGAGCACAACTTGCCTTTTGAGTTATTCTTAGTTTCTAGTGTTTAAAAGCACAGTTTGAGTGCTGTTTATGCACCTTGACCTTATTGTGATGTGAGCAATTTACATTGTTTTCATTGTTTTCTGACTTGCTTCTCTCTAATGTGGAAATATTATAAAACAATCCTTCCAATTAATTGATATCATCATCATTAATGTTGATAAACACCCATATATATTACCATAAAATTAACTGTAAGATGAAAAGGAGGTTAAAAATGAATCTGGAAGGAAATAACTCTTCTCTAAAAATGAAACTCTTTAAATAAAAAGAGAGGCTTGCAGACTTTTAAATATTTTGTTTTCTTACAGAGAAACAATATATTGAAGAAAAATAACAGGGTCACATAAAGCTCATCTTCTCTGTCTTGAAGAACAGAGATGAGCTTTTTGTAATCCTGGTGTGTGTGTGTGTGTGTGTGTGTGTGTGTGTGTGTGTGTGTGTGTGTGCTCCTGTGTGGTGTGTAACTTTAGATTTGTCTGATTTTCAATGATAGATTCATAGGCCTCTAATGGTAATGTCAAAAAAATTCTGATTCAGCCGGGTGCTGATGGCTCAAGCCTGTAATCCTAACTACTCAGGAGGCTGAGATCTGAGGATCTCAAGGAAGGAAAGTCTGTGAAACTCTTATCTCCAATAAACTACTCAGAAAACCGGAAGTGGCGCTGTGGTTCAAGTGGTAGAGTGCTAGCCTTGAGCTAATGAGCTGAGGGACAGTGCCCAAGCTCAGAGTCCAAGCCCCACGAATGACAAAAAAAAAAAAAAAAAAAATCTGATTAAAATGTTGAATTTGTGTGGAATGTGTGGGAAATTGTTGTGCTTTGGAAGGTGGTTGCTGGCCTAACACTGTTTTCTTTCTTCTCTCATCCCACCCCCACCCCGTAATGTCTTAAAGCTAGTTTCATTTGTTGGACAATTTCATTCAGTTCCTTCTTTGCAGCAAAGCAGTGCCATCATAAGCTAACTCAAGTGAGACTCCAGAATGGAGGCAGAAAGTGAGGACATTAGCCTTTCTTTGTGGGTCTAAACTTAACCTTTGCACACTCATTCTGCCAATAGGACAGGAGAAATGTATGTTTACTGCTGACAAATGCAGGACAGTTTCCAACAGACTGACATTCTCTTTGTATTTACACAAACAAATGGTAGCTTTTTTGTCTTATATTTAATTAACATTTATCAAGATGAGTGATTGTCATGGTTCACTGAATGTAAGACCCCTATGTGTGATGATTGTTAAAGAAAAACATTTCCAGGCCTTGTTTCTTCGGTGTTTCAGTCTGAATAGGTCTGGGTGGCCATGAATAACCACTTGTAAGACACACCCAGAACATTCTGAAGAAAGAAGTCTAAGGGGGTAGAATTCTTTGAGAAAAGCCAATTTAAGTGAAACTGTTCTTTCTTAGTACTCTTGCTTTCAGTTAAGTAAATTCAGTGGAAGGCTATATAGTTCACTACAGGTAGAATGTAGTTTCAGTAGCTAGCAAACCTGGGGTCAAATTTTACCTCTGCCACGCACAGTCCTCGGTTTCTTCCCCTGTATGAGGGGGGCAATTTAGTAGCTATAGTAAAGGATTTTGTTGGGAGGGTTAGGTGAATTGACACATGGATGTATTCTGGAGAGTGTCACACACACAGAGTTGGCTCTAATTATTTTTCAAAGCAAAATTCATTTCCCATTCTTCCTGATTCTTTCATTACAATTTTCTAGTTTTCTCCAGGCTGCTTCTATTCTTCTTTGGCAGGAAGGGACTGCAGGAGGCCAACAGTAGTGAAAGAGATGAATGGCCACTTTCATAATTCACTTCAAGAAGCTCTTCTGTGAGTTGACAGAACGCTAACTCCATATCATTTTAACTTGGGCTAATTTGATTAATTAAATAAATAATTATTTATTATATAAATAAAGACATTCACGCAAAAGATATCTTAATATGTTTCCAAACAAACTAAAGTGCAATTAAATGACCATGGCGGAGTATTTTTATCCTCATAAATGAAAACTTATTTCATATGAATACTTAAGTGTGTCTTTTATTTATGAAGGGAATGTCAGTAATGCTTCCTGGCAAGTGTCCATTATTTAGTTGAAACCCTTTCCATGTTCTTGATTTGAAGCCATTTTGTCTACAAAAAGAATTCATGACAGTTATACAAAAATTATAATCTGCTCTAAAAATTACAACATTGCCGAGCACTGTTGGCTCATGCCTGTCTTCCAAGCTACTCAGGAAGCTGAAATCCGAGGATGGGGTCAAAGCCAGCCCAAGCAGGAAAGTCCCTGTGAGACTCTTAACTCCAATCAACCATCAGAAAACTAGGAGTAGCGTTGTGGCTCAAAGTGATAGAACACTATTAGCTTGGAGTGGAAAAGCCCAGAGACAACATCCAGGCTCAGAGTCCAAGTCCACAATCAACAAACAAAAAACCCAAAACACTACATACAACATGTGACTGCACCAAGCACTTTCTGAGTAACTTATATACTAATATAAATTCAGTGGCTGGGGTCATTTGAGTGGCTGCTTAAGTTTTATAGCACTGTGACCTGAAAAGACAGAGAAGGCTCCATCACAGAATTTAGTTAAGACTCCATAATAGTATTGGCTTCAAGTGGAAATATCAAGTTTTCTTTTAAGAAGAGCAATGTTTGCTGTCTTTAACATAAGTAGTTTTTATTGAAAGTGTAAAGTTATCAAGCAACTTCTAAAGGTATTTACATAATTTGTGCATATTAATTTTCTTGCATTAAATTACATTACCTTCATTGCATGCTATGCTTGGTAAATTGTTGCTTGACTTCTTGGTAAATTTGAAACTACATTAATAATGATGAAGGATGATTTCTAATTTCTGAGGCTCATTCTGTGTTTCTAACTCACAGGTAGAGATGATAAATGCATAAGCTCAAAAATCCCATTCCTAACCTTTGAACAATAGACTCCACAAATTCTTAGATTCTCAACCCGGCCTGCACCGGCCTACCACTTCCTTTCAGCCCCTCAGTGGCAAGATTAACTGGCCTCACCTCTGGCAGGAGCTGCCCAACAGGAGAAGTGAGTGCAGAGGGACCCCCGACAAGGGAGACCACTCCATTGCAGTCCACGGCGCTGTGCATCTTCCCGTTCATGGGCAGAATGGGAAGGACCCTGGAAGCTCGGCTGGCCTGGCTCACGTTGCTGTGCCGCCGTTCGCCATGTTTGTGCGGCACAAATAGCGAGTCTCTTCGACTGTCATTGTCCTCAAAGGTGCTGTGCTCATCATCGGCAAAGTCGTTCTCAGAACCAATGTCCTTGGTTCGACCTCTGAAGCTGAAAAGGCTCGCTCTACTGTTGCGTCTTGGAGAGAAAAGGGAGCCTCGAATGCTCAATAAAGACTACGAGTAACAAGAGAAGAAACAAAGACAGATGCACAGAAGTAAGAGCCAACATTCTGAAAAACTTGACTAGCCTCAGGGTTTCATAGCTGTTGACTTATCTAAGAACAAGGCTTCAGACAAGGGGAACCAAGAATTTTTGGTTGACTGCTAGTAGTATTCCAGCATTACCAAGGTTATTTCTTTCATTGTGCTTTCCTTTTCCCTCTCTCTCTTCATTTTTATGCACTTTTTCATTTATGTTACCTATACAGAATATACATGTACTTTCGTAATGCTGTTTTGTCTTATAGTTAACTCGCAGGATAGCAATTTTTGCTAGCCACTTTCAGTAGATAAGTTTAATTTAATTCAATAGGAAGCAATTAATTATTTATGTTTAGATCTCTAGAAATGAAACAAAAATCTGTCCAGTAAGAGCTCACGAATAATTACACCCTGATGTATTTCTTCCCACACAGGAGAAAAATCAATCTTGCTAGTAGATCTGCTTAATTGTAGTACAAGGAGCATCTTCTCCGCTTTTCTAGTACATATTTTATAATGGCATTTATGAATAAATTAAACAAATCAAGCTCTGATTCACTCTGATTTTCACTCTTCTGTTTCAAGAAATATTAACAAAATCCAGTTTTCACTAGGCATCCTGTCACAATCATTGGATTCCTCCATGTGATGACCTTGGAATTCTGTCATACACTTCCTGTCTCTTATCTGTGGTGGCATAGGGAAGAAGCAATCACTTCCAGTATACTAGACTATTTTTAAAAGCCCCACTTGTTATTGTTTGGCCAATTGTTTAGCCATTCCTCATCAACTCTCAGATGGGTTAATGTGGGAACCATTAGATCCAACCTCTGTATCTA